CATCATCCACACTGTACACAAATGTCGTGAGTGAACTGACTAATAGCCCCCATGCCCTCAACTGTGAGGCATCGGGGGATGGTGTGTGATTTGAAGAAGTCGGTGACATCATCATAAGGATCTTGGCCACTGCTTGCTGCCCAACACACAGGCTACCACAGGTGTACAGACGGTGGACAGTTGGTATAGGGTTACAAATATGCTTCCCCACGTGTCATTTACTTATCACCTCCTTGTTGTAGCTGGGCTAGGGAGGGCGGCAACCTTTAGGAAACACCAAATGAAAGCAAAGTGTGGGACCCATAGCAATGAATATACAGTATGTTTTGTTCCAATAAAATTAGAGACCGGGATCTAGGATCAACAAAGCCTTGTAGCTCCAGCATGGGCGTGGCTCTACTTTTATTGAAGCCACCAGCGCTATAGGTCATCCAGCTACATGTTCCAGCGCCTCAACATGCTGGTCAAGAGAGGGAGGATGGGGTACCTGCTACACACTAGGCTTTTATTCCTCACCTGAGCTCAAGGAAGTTTTCATATTTAGTTGTTTTAGTGTTAAAGGCGTTACACACACACACCCATAGTTTGCACACGTATCTATGGTGCTTTCTCAAGTATTTTCATGAAATATTCGTGTTAACTTATCACTCTGAAAATGTTGTTTGTTTATAGTGTTGTAGTATACAAGGCTGTCAGTCACGGTCGTACGTGTCACAATTAAGATTTAAAAAAAAATGAAATAGTTGCTTGTGGTATAATAGTACAGTATACCCTGAAGCCGCGCTTACCGCTGGTCTATAAAAAAACGGGAATATTTTTACCTGCTGACCTGAATATGTTAAAAGTATCTTAATATTATTAGCATCAAAAGGATATAATGAAGTGGATCATGTTGGAGTGTGTTAAAATTAAAAGTCTTTTGGATGGCCGTAGGGTACTGACCTCTGTCGCACTGGGAGGGAGGCACTGGGCTCAGAATAATGAGATCCATATATACAGTGCGTGACGTCGAGGGAAGGATGAAGGGAGAAGGATGGGAATAAAGGATCTGATGTAGTGTGAGAAAAAAATAAAAGAAGGATGGACGAGGCAAGGAGAAGGATGGAGGTGAGGGAGAGGGATGAATAGGCTGTGAGTGGGAGGGACAGAAGGGTATAAAATGAGAGGAGGAAGAGGGTGAGGTGGAGGGGGAAGGACAGACGAGAAGGAGAATACAATGGGAGAGGGGGGCTAGGCTATGGGGGGGGGAAAAAGTGCTGGGAGGAGGAGGAGGGCTGCAGAGAAGGGAGGGGTTTGGGTGAGGGGAGAAGGAGTAGGCTGCAGGGAGGAGGAAGGCAAGGGAGAGACTGCATGGGGAGGGGTGGAGGAAGGAGGTTATATTTAGCAGCTTCAGGATCAAAGGTCAGTAGGAGTTAACTGCGGCTACTAATACACTCCCTTACACGCTAGTCCTGGTGGTTGTTGTCACTGTTGTCATGGCTGTCATTCTCACATATATTGGTTGTTGTTGTCACTGTTGTTTTTTGTTGTCTTGTCACTTCTCATAGTAGTCGTCGCTTTTAAATTTATTGTCGTAGTCAATGTTTGGATTCAAATTTTCCCGCCTAGGTCAATAATAATGATAATCACTTATTTAACACACTGTGTATATTTATTAAATGGTTAATACGAGACAGTGGGTTATGTTATGTTGTTACTGGGGGATTAAAGAAGGGGGACCGTGAAGAAGGGCTGAAACAAGTGTGGTCAGTTGACAGGAGATTCTGACACTGACGGCTGGTAAAGGTGAATGTCAGGTGTGTGACGATATTAAACGGAAAGTCCTGTGACGGAGGTTCTCACCGTCCAATGGAAGGAGGGGCGGTTCCACCATGACGTCGTGGCAGATTTCCTTCAGTAAATTTGCTGTTAGATCCCTCACTTCGTCATGCCTCTTGCATACGAAGCCCCCTTTCTTGCACACCATGGCATGGTCAATGTCAGAAGAGCCGGGCAAACCTTCTACTGGCCTACCGTACCTAAGAGCAATGGCATCTGTAAATTCTTGTTTATTACGGATGAAGCCTTTTGCCCTTATTGGTAACGTTGTTACCAATAAGGGCAATAGAGGGATGAGACGTGAAGAATGAATGTATAGCGGGGTGAGACGTGATGAATGAATGCATAGCGGGGTGAGACGTGAAGAATGAATGCATAGCGGGGTGAGATGGCGAGAATGGCGCATAGCTGGGTGAGACGTACAATGAATGTAAAAGCGGGGTGAGACGATGAATGAATGCATAGCGGGGTGAGACGTGAAGAATGAATGCATAGCGGGGTGAGATGATGAATGAATGCATAAAGGTGAGACGATGAATGACTGCATAGTGGGTGAGAGGAAGAATGAATGCATAGCGGGTGAGACGTGATGAATGAATGCATAGCGGGTGAGACGATGAATGACTGCATAGCGGGGTGAGACGTGATGAATGAACGGCGTAAGAGACGAAGAATGAATGCATAGCGGGGTGAGACGTGATGAATGAATGTATAGCGGGTGGAGATGCATGAATGAATGGTATAGTTAGCGGTGAGACGGATGAATGAATGTAGAAGCGGGTGAGACGAGCGAATGTAATGCATAGCGTGAGACGTGATGAATGAATGCATAGCGGGTGAGACGATGAATGAAATTTACAGCGGGTGAGACGATGAATGAATGCATGGCGGGTGAGACGTGATGAATGAATGTATAGTGGGCTAGAGACGATGAATGAATGTATAGCGGGGTGAGACGTGATGAATGAATGTATAGCGGGGTGAGACGTGATGAATGAATGTATAGCGGGGTGAGACGTGATGAATGAATGCATAGCGGGGTGAGACGTGATGAATGAATGCATAGCGGGGTGAGACGTGATGAATGAATGCATGGCGGGGTGAGACGTGAAGTGGTAACTGGTGATTCATTGACAGGCAGGAAACACAAACGAGGAGAGGAGAGGAAAGGAAGGGAAGGGAAGGGAAGTAGGAGAATGCGAGGATAGGAACTTGGGAAGAGAGCATGAAGGTCAGCGGGAGGGGAGGGGAGCCATGACCTGGGTTATGAGGGGTTAAAGGGTGTTAGTGGGTGTGGGAGTAACGCCCGCGTGTACACTACGCACTGCGGCCGTATTATTGATTGTCTCTCCCGGTTCCCTGGCGCCTCCTACCCGCCCCGTCACCCAGGGTATTCGCCCTACCAACCCGGGTGTCCGTCCCGTCACACCAAATACCCACCCCGTCACTCCAGGTACCCTCCCCGTCACTCCGGGTGCCCGCCCCGTCACTCCGGGTGCCCGCTCCGTCACTCCAGTTACCCACTCCGTCACCCGGAGGTGTTCGCTACACCACAGCACTGACCTGAGCACACGGCATAGTGTTCCCTGGTGAGGGGACGTGAAGTGTTTTTTTTTTTTTTTTAACTATTTATTTATCGCCGTTGTTCAGTTATTATGAGAACATAAAGTAACACACAACACATGTTCGGGTTGATCGAGCAGGAAGAGGAGAGGGAATAACACAATTTTTTAGCTTTCTCATACAAGCTTGTTATGATTAAGTTTTTGTTGGTGTAAGTCATGGGTGTGAGGGAGTGTAGACTACGGAAGTGAGGGAACTCATGCCCGACTCTTGGCGCCAAGTGGGTGTTGGCGGCGCTGGGTAAATTGTCCGAGCACCATTTTTTCGGCCGCTGGAGATGTGTTGTGGTGGTGAAGAGCTGTATGGCGTGGTTATGAACTGAGGGGTTAATGTCTTACAAAAGGGGGCTGGTGTCTTGGTAAGCGACGGTGTGTTAAATACGACTTAAACAATGCTCGGTGGTATCTTTTGAGATAGACAGGCTGAAACACAAAGAAATCAATAGAATAGACAGTGGACAGGATTTAAACGTGCTGGATGGGGAGTGACGGAATATATTGTTTGAAGTTAATGTTTTTGTACTGGTGCGTGATATAGATTTAATTATTAGCCTTGTGTGTAGTGAAGTTGGTGGAGCTACATGTGTCTGACTCACACTTAAAAAATAGAGAAATCTGAGACGGAAGAAGTTGGAAGATTTGGAAAAATTATTTTAAGACTTTTCTCTCTCTCTCTCTTCAGACACTTTTGAAACAGTCTGGGCCTCGTAGGTTGTTCAAAGTTTTGATGTATTACTGCCACAAAACACTCAAGTGTGTGTTAGCTATGACTTGGGCTTTTTCGTGTGTGTGTGTGTCCGAATTGCTCTCTCTGGTCACTGTGTGGTTAGTTTGGCAAGGTATATATATACAGTATATATATATATATATATATATATATATATATATATATATATATATATATATATATATATATATATATATATATATATATATATATATATATATATATATATTGTTCCCATTATATTGTGTTACATCTGTTCGATCATATATTCCTGAGAAATTGTGAGACAAAATACCCTAGACTGTGGGTAAGAATCATTCTGAGGTAGAACGAAGACGCTGATCTTTAAGTAGTTCACAACAGCGGCTTACCAACTAAGAAAAAATGGCGTATGTCTCGGTTTGTTAATTGACTTGTGATACAAATTCATCTTGGTAGTTATGTACACTTACCAGTCGTCGCTATGGACTTTAATATGGGTGATGCAGTATTTCATCCATTTACTTGCCTCATCTAGCGTCATGAATTTAGTGTAGTGTAATCTCTTTGTACACGGCGGTGATCCATCCGGGACTCGTAAAAGTTGTCGGGCCACTGTTTGATGTGGAGGTGGGTGGGTCAGCTCCCTACCTCACACTGGACCCCGGGTATAAGTTGACCTTGTTTCTTCTCTTCTCCTGCTTCTTCATTATCACCGTCTTCTATTTCCTCTCTGGGTTAGGCCCTATTATGTTTGTTTTTTTTAGAAAGAGGAAATATTTTTTAAGAGCAATTGAGACGTTGTGTTTATAAAGAATGCATAATTTGATCTAACAATCAGTTTTGTGTTACAGCGTGGGTGAGTCAGATCCCTGAGGCCAAGGATGGTGGGGCCTCCGACCTGCTCCACCACCTACCACTACTACGACCCTCCAACACTGAGGCCAAACTACAGTACCTCTCCATCATCCCCAAGGTGAGTAATGTACCTTCATACTATCTCAGTCTTCCCTCACACAACACTGAGGCCAATATACAGTATCGCTCCATTATCCCACTAGGTCACTTAATCTCCTCCTCCACATGATGCGCGTCAAGCACCATCACTTCAAGCATTAACATAGCCACAGACCTCAACCATGTACCAGACAGCCATTGGTTGTGTGCTGTGTGAGGTTAGAGATCATTCCAAGCCGTTCGTAATGTGATAAGGATGGATAGTTGTCACACCACTGGTCACACCACACCGGCAGATAACATTCAAATTAACTCCCGAAGAAGCTGTTAACTATAACTAGTTCGTGCTTAGCTGTTGGCCGCCCCTCCCCCTTACACACACACACACACACACACACACACAGTGATTTACTTGCATATATATATATATATATATATATATATATATATATATATGTGTGTGTGTGTGTGTGTTGTCAATAGTAAGAGAAACAATTGAGACCCCGCAATTGTGTGTAAATGAGGCAGAAAGTCAGATCAGGAACCTGGGACTTGGTCACAATTTTTGTGATGCCATATGGCAGCAGGGTCTACCATTAGACAACACAGTATGCTTCCAATATCTTCCCAGGCGGTAGTACCTCCCTGTTTGATAGCTGCCTACTACCTGGTGTATAATGGTCAATATATCATCTCACTAATGTGGCGTTTTAGTTAACTATAACGCTTCCCAAATAGGAAGCAAATCTCGGTGACCTTATTGGTAATTACTGTGCATAGATTCAAGAGAAATTAATTATCTTTGTTGAGTAATCTGCTATTAATAAAAAATGGCGCTCGTGTGCGAAACACTCTTCGACCAAGTCAGTAGAGGTGAGAATTGGGCTAATGTGGTCAAGAATGAACTAGAAGTTGGAGAGCAGTAAATCGCACATTTTCCTTATTACCGTTTTTGCTTTCGTATAAACCAACATTAATAGTTTGTGGGAAGATCCGAAATAAGAAAAATCAGGAATACAGCCGAACGTCAGAAATGCACTAATACATGGACAGGCTGTATGGTCATATCCTCATAGGTATACAAACAAACTTGGTGTTGCATCAAGGAAGCTCCAGCAGTATTGTGAGCCATTGTGATAGTACGCCTGCGCGCCACGTGGCCCAGATACCTATGTTAAACATTGATCCACAGTCGATCGATTCATGGATACCTACTGCACTTATCTGTTCTGTGTTTGGAGTATACTGTACTAGTTCATTGTTATGTATATTTATTATTATTTTGAGATAGGAACGATAATGTGTGTGTCTGGAAGATTAGTGCTCAGAACTGGTTAAAAGTACCAACACATTTTTTTTACTGTGTTTTCTTAAAGTTGTGTGCATGTGTACTGTATCCTGTGATATCGTTTGTGTGTAGTGTATGTGTATACTGTATATGCATGCGCTCGTGCTTATAGGCGTGTGTGTGTTCAGCTGTTTTATATTGTACGTGCGTGCATGCGTTTATGTACATGTTCTTTAAAATTGGGATAAATACGTCATGATTGTAAAACTGTAGTGTAGAATAATTGCATTTCTATTCCTCCAGTGTAACAAGTAATGAACAGAACATGATTTGATTATGTGGCGTGTTTGGTAAAATAGAAGGATGCTTGGTTGGTCAAACTATGTATTTAACTACTTTCTGTGACATAGAATCAACCTTGTTTATTATCTTCCTCATCTGCCATATACGATATCTAAATTTTAACAGCGAGAGTAAATTTATAATGTAAAACGTACCCCTTGTAAGCCAGGATCTGTCATGGCGGCAGCAATATCATGCAGTACAGTACTTTTAAAACACAAAATGAACCACCCATACCTTACATTACTTTTCACTCTTATATTTTGTTTTTTTAGTTAAGTTAGGTAGATTAGGTTGGGTATGATTGGTTCGTATTGCCTCATCGCAAATACGTGAGTTTAGACTATTTTTAAAAATTTAGTCACCGGATATTACAGAATTAGAATAATAAAAATATCTTCTAATGGAGAAAAAATTGTTGGGTGCCAAGTCTTACTGCTTACATTTCTTAAGTTTTTGTGGGCAACTTTTTTTTTCGTTCAGTTTTTACAAACAGCTTTGTATACCTTGGATTCTTAGGGGAATTTAGATGTACACAATACGTACAATACCGTTTACAGGAGAGCATGGTAATACGAGAAAAGTAATTTCTTTCATTTTCATTTTTTTTAATTACGGAGGATATTATGCTATACAGTAATTACGTATAGTGCATATGTAAAACAAAATATGGAAGGGGAAAGTTGGATTTTTTCCCTTATAAAAGTGATATAAGTTAAATTCGAATGGTTAAGTCCATAGACTTTTGGTAGTAGTGGTGTCACCGAGTCCCTTAGCTAATTCCAGTAACTACAACTGTAATGGGTGAAACCTGTGTAGAGGAGAGACGGGAGACACCCAGACGCAGCTGGGCGGGGCGTCGAGGGAGTGAGGGTGGGGGTTAGAAGGGATTCCCTGTGACTCATGACGACTTGTTGACGTCACTACCATCTCACGGTAGAACTCGCGATTGCAAACACGCCAGCAAAAAATAGCCACAATCAGATGAAAGCAGTAATTCCACCTAATGTAGTTGATTACCATGTAGGTAGCCCTTCATGAGTCGATTTAAGTGAAAGTATGACACTGTATTGCTTACATTCATTCTCTTTGACAATTTTCTGTGTTGGTGTAAAATTTATGCATTCATCTGTGTAGTAGTACATCAGACGTTTACGAACAAAGAACAAAAGAATTTTTATGGTCTTTGTTTGCTTAATATCAGATACAGTATTAATTCCAGTTGATTGTAATACTTAAATGTCTACGGTATTTCGTAAATGAATACAGTATTTTATTTTTGGTGTTTAAAACTACAATATAGTATTGTCTTTGATTACCTAAGAAGGGGTAAATATTTAGTTGTCAATATATACTTTTATATTGAGTCATATATGGAGAAAGAAAAAATGGAAATAATTTATTCTATAGCGTTTTTGGTTGATATTCGTACACTGGCCGTACCCCTCAGCCTCACTTAGAGTCAGTTGTCTTCTCCTTACCGTCTCCTCCTTGTAGGTTGGGTTAGGTTAGGTTAGGTTAGGTTGGTAAGTTGGTTGGTTGGTTCCTTTGGTATGAGAATGTTTTTCGTCGGAAATTTTTATTTCTCGAGCATTTTAACCGATAAAATTACCAACAATATTACGTGTTCATAGTGGGCAGGGCTTTGATGTCGAGGTTGAAAATGTAGGGTAAAAAAAACAAAAAACAAAAACAAGACAAACTTTTAAAAACCTTGATAGTTATATAGGACTAACCCGCGAGGGAAATTGATTGAAAAGTTATAAAAACGCCGGATTTTCTTTGTTGTATTATAGTGAACACTTGTAATTTGTGGAAATATGTTAAAATATTAATATTTTTTAAATAAACGTTACTTAACATTTGTGGGTATGAAGAACAGAACTAACCAACCAACCAAACAAACCTACCTACCTTTACCTAACTTCCCCGTTATATTAAGCAGAAAGAACTTTCTATAATATGTTGAAATTTGAGGCATTTTCCGGACGTGATATTATACGGCCGCATTGGCGCTGTGCAGCCCCGGCAGGTTATGGTTAGTCCTATATATTAACGAAAACCTTACCTAGTCTTTAAAAATCCTAAATCTATAAAAAGTTTACCTTATTTATATTTTCGGTGCTTAGTATATGATGGTGTTATTTTCCGTTTTTTGTGTTGGTTTTTTCGGTGTTAAGATGAGGAGAGATACATAAAATTCGATAGTGATAATTAAAAATTTTACAACTTAGGAAAGGTTAGGTAAGATTTTCAAAGGTTTGTTTGATGTTCTTTCTATATTTTACCATACATTTTCCTGTAAAATTATCGTTTCGGTCATGTAGTGAATTTAAGGATTAGAAGTGTTGGAATCAGTAGTTTAGCCAATTCTAAGACAATTTTCTTCTTAAATTAGCGTTTCCGTTGGAAATTGATATTTTTCGAGTATTTTGATCAATAAAATTACCAACAATATTTCTTGTTTAAAGTGGACAGGGCTTTGAAAGAGAGGGAAACTGTGGGGTAACTACTAAAAAAAACACTAAATTTTGAAAAGCCTGACCTAACGTTACCTAACCTTTAAAAATCCTAAAACTATAAAAAGAAAAAAAAAATACCTTTTTCATGTTTTCGTGGTGGTGTTTTTTTTTTATTTTTAGTATGTGTTGGTGTTGTTTTCGGTGTTCAAAGGAGGAGTGATCCATAAACTCGAAAGTGATTCTTATAACATTTTTACAAGTTAGGAAATGTTAGGTGAGGTTTTCAAAGGTTTGTTTGGTGTTATTTTGGGTAAAATTTCACTTGTTGCTACTCTACAAAATCGAAGTTGAAACTGTGTTTTTCCGATAGTTTTTGGTGTGTTATGAACAAATTTGACCTTCATTTCTGGTGCAAATCAATAGTTTCTGATATTAGGCCCCCCATCTCAGAATCTAGAGATTTTATATAAAAATCAAGTTAAAAAGTGTTCAAAACACATCGAAAACCATTGGGAAAAAAACTTACCTAACCTAACTGGGGAGCTCCACAGTCTATCAATGTCTTGCATGTGTACCGCCATGTATGAACATACATAATAAAACGTTAAACATCTTACTTATACGTAATTTGTGCCAGAAATGCTATTGAAGAAAAGTGTCTTAGAATTGTCAAAACTACTGATTGCAGCTATAAAATTCCCCAGATATGTGTAGTGGCAACAAGTGAAATAATACCTTATTTTTATATTTTACCCCACATTTCCACATTTTCCCTCTACTTCAAAGCCCTACTCACTTTAAACAAAGGTTAATATTGACAGCTAACCCACTGACAAGTTATTTGTTTTACTTTATTTTCATCAGTGAGTTCTGATATGATAATCATTTCTTGTGCAAATGCTTTGTTTGGTAGATAATTAGGTGCTTAGACGCACAATACTTAATCTTCTCGGTAATGCGGCGGTGACGTCTCATCCCAGGATGTAAACAGCCAATCATATTGACGTATTTCAAAACACTCCATCACCTGGGCTTCATCAACTCCGATGCTCAGTGTATGCTTAAGAACTTTTCTGTATGGGCGACTGCTCTCACGTCCACAAAAAACGTAAAAAAATTACACCTTATCATAGTAAGTTCTTTCTGTTTAATATACTGGGTGTCCAGGGACTGGAGTCCCCAAGCTAGGAAGTTAGGTAAAGTAGGTTTGTTTGGTTTGGTTGATGAGGTCATGTAACGATACTTCTGCTGCTTTTTTTTTCATATCAACTAAGGTTAGGTTACGTTAAATTTAGAAATAATCAGTTTTAGCACATTTGCACAAACACAGTGAAATTGCAGCATTTTTGTAACCATTTTCTATGAAAAATCATTCGCGGGTTAGTCATCAGTAATTACCTAAGCAAGTAATATTGATGGTAATTTTAACGGTTAAAATACGAAAAAAAATATGACGGAAACACTATAGAAGAAAAGTGTCCTATAATTGTCTAAACTACTGATTCCAAAGCTTAAAATTATAGAATTCACTATATAACCAGAACGATAATAATACAGTACCCATTTTCCTTCTGCAGTAGTTCAAAACGCAGCCCACTTTAAACAACTAATATTGTGGGTAATTTTATCGGTTAGGAATTAATTGTAGCATGCACAGTCATAATGATTTATTTTGCATAATTATCTTGCTGAATATACAAGAACATAGTGGTGCTTACAGAAGCTTGTTTTTCTTAATTTTATGATAATGTTTTCACTTCAGGTATTGGCACATGCTGTTACATCAGCTGGGACACAGCCAGCTGCTTTGGAAAATGCTCGACAACTCCTCAGTTACTCTCTCATCCACCCGGCCATCACTGCCGAGGAGCGGCGTGCACTCACACATTGGTTACGAGCCCTCGAAGACAGACTGGCAGACCTCCGAAGAAGACCCCCAAACCAACAAAGAGAAGGTAGAGTTAAATGAGAGTTGATGCACTAAATTCAGAACTATCACATTTCAGATGCTTAATTAACAATACGAAAAATGCAAGGTTAAACTTTTATTTAAAATCCTGTTTTAGGACACATGTGAAGATAACACTTGTCAGAAGAATACAGTATAAGAGTAGATTTAATAGAGAAAATATGGTGTTACCTAGAAGAAAACTTAATGTATAGAGATTTTTTAATTATGGTAAAAATATAACAATATAGTAAAAGTTATCTTATTCGTTGTGTTCAATTTCATTTTGAGATTTGCTTTATAGTCTACTACTTTTAATAAAAGTACTTTATTTGAGCTAGATGGTGATTTTATTTACTGTATTTGTTTATGACAAATAAAATTATATCTAGCTCAAATATAGCACCCTATACTTTCAACAAATTTATTAGACTATTAGGCAAATCTCAAAAAGAAATTGAACACAGTGAATAATACAAAACTGAAGTTTAATATTATATGATATTCCATGTACCTCAGGTTTCACTAGCAGTAGCAGTGTGAGCTCAGGGAACATCTTGGTTACTGGCAAGTCAAGGTGGAATGATCCACCTCTTGTGCCACCTCCAGATACTGGCCAAGTACGGATAAGTACTTATAAGATTTCTTGCTGTATAATTAGAATAAACCTGAATATATTAGAAGTGTTTTTATTATGTTAGGTAACACAAGTAGATGAAGAGAATGTTTTAGTTAGAATCAAAGCAAAATGTTACAAAAAATGAACAGACACTCTAGAAAGAGTAATTATTTATGACTACAGAGTGTGATATCACAAGTGTTACTGTAGGCAGTAAGGACTATTGTTGATTGTCATTGTAAGCAGGAAGTCATTATTCCTCTATGGTTGATCTCAGGTATACATGGTATGCTTGTTGCTCATGTACCTTATGTTCTTTTTTAGTAACCCTCTTCTTCTCCTTGTATACTGTATTAGGATTACAATACTGTATACTGTACAATAAAATCCCCATAATTTGTACGCCTCCAAGTTGAAATCACTCATAATTCGTAATGTTTAGCTGTTATGAAATACTGTATACCGTATGGTATATTACAAATTGGGTAATATTTGGTAAAATTGCTGAATATGAGACATTCATTATACTATAGTCTGTTTTTTAAAATAGGCGACATTTATTAGATCCTAATAGAATCCAACCTAACCAAACAAAGAAACCGTATCTAACTTCCAAGCCGGGGCCCCCAGACCCCTCGCCATATTAAACAGGAAGTACTTATTTTAGTATCTGTTACCAATGAAATCAACTTTGTTGAACTGTCATGGTATAATTTATGTTTTTTGTGGACATGAGAGTATGCTCAGATCGAGCGGGTTGGTTGTAAACAAACTGGGCAGACGGCAACACGTGGAGGAGTATTTATGGTAAATTAATTTCTTCATGTATAAAGGATGTAAAGATATAATTTTAGTGTCATATGATCAGTTTTCACTGTGTTTTACCCCTTCAATTTCCCTCATTCTTCATGCTTGCCCACTACAGGTGATTTATGATCATAGATAGAGAAAAAAAATTACAGTTATTAATAATCAAAATAATAAGTTGTTGCCTCTTTTAAAATACTTAATGATAAGAACATAAATGGAAAAAAATACTAAAATCGAACTACTCCTTCTGGTGGTAGTGGTGCTCTCAGAAATTACCATTCTTCCTTTCACTTCATCTTGTAGTTACTAATACAGGTTGTACCTCTCTAGTCCGGCATTCTGTGGTCCGGAACGATTTTAGTTTGCCCAGTAGGTAGATAGGCAGCTATTATTATTATTATTTATTTATTTATTTTTTTTTTATTACTTATCTGAATTATTATTATTATTCCAGGAGTATTAAGTTTTCGCCCCTCAGGCCCCAATGTGGGTCAGTGACCTATGCCCGGGTGGGCTAATCCCCGTAAAAAAAAAAAAAAAAAACCAGCCGCAGGAAATTAAGGTTTGTTTACATCCGGCAGATCGGCTGCTCTCTCTCTCTCTATTTGTCTATACAGAATACAACATTTAACCCTTCAATATATATGAGCAGTAAATAAGTGTTGCTTTCATACTCTTATGTAGAGTAATGATGATATGTTTTCACATGTGTTCACTTACATACGAGCAGTCTCAGTTTTTTCCTTTACCATTAATGGTTAGCTACTTTTATTGTTCTATTTATTAACATTAAAGAACATTACTTAAAACAACCATATTAATTTTTTACATTAATTCTACTACAGCTACAACCAGGGTCTTATTTTCTTCAGTTTTATATGTAGAACCAATCAGTCACTGGTTTTGTAAACATTAACGAAAACAATGCCGGCAACCATCTCATCTCCTCATCTGTTTTAATCCACGTATTATTAATGAATTGTATTGTTCATTTTGCACACACAAACATGAATTCAATAAAAAAAAAATTCAGAAACATTAATTAAAACATACTGTATATGAACAGCAAATAAGTGTTGCTTTCATATTCTTATGTAGAGTAATGACAGTATGTTTTCACATGTGCGCACTTACAAACGCGATCTCTCTTTTTGTTTTACCATTGATGGTTAGCTACTTCCATTGTTCCATTTAGTAACATTAAATAACATTACTTAAAGCAACCATATTAATTTTACTACAGCTACAACCAGGGTCTTATTTTCTTCAGTTTTATATGTAGAACCAGTCAGTCACTGGTTTTGTAAACAACGAAAACAAAGTCGTCTCGTCTCCTCGTGTGTTTTAATATTCTACGTATTATTTATGAATTGCATTGCTCATTTTGCAAACATAAACATTAATTCAATCAAAAAGACATTCAGTAATAAACAATAATGAATCCTTTGTACATAAGAGAAATGATGCTGTTTACACGATTGTGCACGTCGTCTGAACGTTGACGGGCCGTTCAAACCCGTCGATATTCGAGTTTCCGTGGTCTTAATTTTAAATTGTGTAGTGTTTTTTTTTGTGTGTCCAAATAAAAAACGTTGAATTAAAAACTCGCAAAATTTGAGAAGCTACTGTTCGACATTTAACCCTTCAATATGTCTTCAAAGAGACCATGAAGCAGAGAAAGTGGTGCTAGTGCTTCCAAGTGTATGCACAAGTCACTATCTATCCAGGAAAAGGGTGAATTTCCATGGTCCGGCACCGGTCAGGTCCCGAGGTTGCCGTATGAGAGAGGTACAACCTGTAGTTCGATCATTTTTTGGGGGGGGTATATTAAACATTTTCCCTACACATTTTTTTTGTATTACAGCAAGTATAAAGAATTATAGTACTGTACTTACTATTGAGAGAAAAAAATTACAGTACAGTACAGGGTATAGTATTCTGTACTACAGTTATACTTCAACACTCGTATACATGTTTACATTATCTTGCAGCTCTTCCCTTTTGGTGTAAATCTTCACATAATGGAATTAAGAAATGTTTTATAAGATCAGTGTCTTTTCCTATTACATCACCTTTCATATTTGAACTTACCAGTCTATAGTGTCTTGACATATAGTGAGACTTTACACCCACTGTGTCCTGTTAATTTTAAAATGTTTGTCCCACTTATTAAATGTAATGTTCAGGAACTTTTATAATGTTCAGGGAATGTTTATGGACAGTTTCTATTTTTTTCACAATACTGTACTGTATCTGTAACCAAATTTGGTATAGTTCTTTCTTTCGAATTGAGTCACTGTATTGTTGTTTTTTTTCAAGAATAATTACATGTATAAAGAATATCTTATTAATGATCCTATACTAAATGGAATGGAAATTCTTAAATATTTGCTAGCTATTTTTTTTTCTGTTTGTTTGTTTGTTTTACCTTGTATTTTTCCCTAGTCTAAAATAATTGACTGATGTACTGTACAGTAGTTATTTAGAATCCTTGACAACTTCTGACAAGTTAAATGTCACTTACCTTTCATATTTTTGTCCCTTTTTCTTGATTTGTAGGATCTCACACCATTTACTAACTGGTGACCACAATTTCTCTAACTGCACCTGTTGTTTATGCGTCCATCTAACACCATATGGTTCCGCTTTCAGGATAGGACGCTGAGCTCTCCTTCACTGGCTGCTTGGGTTAGTCTTTTTTCTTTTTTTCATTTTATGTTTTTAAAACTTTTGATTGACTCCATATAGAAATAAGCATACAATATACTGCACTTTCATACTTCACTAAGAGAGTTTTTACAGTAAATACAGTAGTGTACTGTACTGTATATCTATTTTTTTATAATGCTAACAGTCCTACTTTTGTATATTTCTCTATTTTCCATAATGCTGATTTACTTCTTATTTTCAGTTACCTAGTCGCAGTATGTTTCATATTTATTACATAATTTTCTATTAGTCTGTGTTTCATAGTTTCTAATAGAGTAGTTATCTGTTAGTCTTAGTATGCTTCATAGTTACTAATTAACTATTTTATTATTATATTTTGTGTTTCATAGTTGCAAATTATGCTCCATTTTCTGTTACAGTAGTCTTTTCTCATACAGTGGGTAGTCTGTGCAATTTAATTTCCCCTAAAAAATTCAGCCACATCATATTTCAGTTACCTCATTATTTCAGTCATCTTGGATGTGTACTTAGTTACTCTTCCTCACAACCCTTCACTGATGAGCCTTCAACCCCTCCTACCTTGGTCATCTCCACACTCATCTTACAGAATTCTTCAAAATTGTATTTGTAGAGATTTTCACATACTGGTAGTTTCCATAGGAACATTCTCAAGGAAACTTCACTGAGAAAGGCAACATCACTAAAGCAAAGTTTTTATGATAATACAGTACTCACCAAGTGTGCAGGACATGATTATCCTGACGAACTAAGTTATAAATTCAATTTGCTGAACTAGGAAGAAATTTTGCACTTTATTTATACAGGGTGACAGAGCCTCGTTGGTGAACTTCAGCTTTCAATAAATATTAAAAGCCTGAAGTAATCTGTTGCACCAAAACTCATGCAACTTTTATGTGCTGACTCATCATCAAACATCATCTAGGATCATGGGCTATAAAAACTTGAAGTGTTAAGTCAGTATGTCTGACAGAGACCACACACTTGAACACTACAGTACAGTACATACCATAGTGAACCATTGATAGAGAACAAGGATAAATTATGTAGGATTTCTTTTCCTGCTTGAACCATTCTCTATTGAAATTAACATCTTTCAGGCACTAGAATTTTTTTTTTTTTAATAAATGACTCCACCAAGGTGATAAATTTTATTGGATGGAATATGGATGGATACATACACCCATGGAAGGTGCTTAGAAATATGGATGTAATCTTTGACTTGAGAAGTTCTTTCATATCCCACAATTTTTTTTTTTTTTTCAAGATATTAGATTTCTGAGGATTTATAAGTGTTTCTCTTACACCTCTGCAGGCAATCTATGAAGGTATTCATCAGATATGAACCTTCATTTGGTGATGTATTTTGACATTGACTAGCAACTTATAAAATTTAATTAATTCTTATATGACTACCAGTCAGAAAAATCGAAAAAGTTCATATATTATCCCCTGCTGGTGGGTGTAACAAGATTTCTGTATAATCTTAGGTAAAAGAAGACTGGAGAGTCGTCAAAAAGAACGGAAGATCTAAGTTGAAAATACCATTGAAATTTATGTTTTACAAATCATTCAGATCTAACCCAAAAGGAAAGAAAAGCTATTCAGTCTAAAATATTGTTAATCTGAGAAGACCTATAGTGTGTGCAGTTTAGTAGTTACTACACACCATGTAGCATTAATTCTATACCAAGAGAAACCATGTGTGAAATTCATAATTCGTTGCATGAAATCCTTGAATGTATGTGCGATACTTTTCTTGTCAATTTCTTCATTTTATATAAATACACATAGCAGCACCACCCTAACCCGGGGCTTGAGGGTTAAGAAGCTATGACAATAGTACTTTAGGATGCTTTCTATGATAATTCTTTATTTGTTACCAGGATGATGTAGGATGGTGTAGTGGAGCAGCTGCAGTAGGTGGGGCTCCTGGTGATGCCCCCCAGTCTCCTAACAACTCAGCCACATCCTCACGCTCCTCTGGTTGTGATTCCAACCCAGAAGAACCCTGCCAACCACACCCTGGCATGAGAGGTAAGGAGCTCTTCACTAATCCTAAGCCTATTGCTCTATGCACCTATAGAAGGTGTTTCAATATTCCTCAAGTAATAGATTTTTAGCTTCAATTAAGTTTGTGTAAATGTGATTTAAATTTATGTATCATTACCAGTACAGTGGTCCCTCGATTAATGAACGCAATTCGTTCCACCACAGAGTCGTACATTAACCGAAAATTTTGTTAACCGAATCTATTATTTCAATGGGATATTGGGTAATTGGTTTCAACAAACAGAAAAAGTACATAAAGAGTACTGTTTACCGGTAATAGAATTAACGAAACATTAAATATAGACTAAATACAGTACTGCATAGTACAGTATACTGTACAATAATAAATAAAAAACAATAGAATACTGTATTTTAACTTACTTTGAGACTGAATGTGAGAAAGACCTAGGTGTGTATGTTGACAATGAGCTGAAGTTCTCGGGCCATTGTGAGAAGAAGGTAAACCAGGCAAATAAATTATTGGGTCTTACAAGAAGGTCGTTCAGATATCTAGATGGTCCGTCCCTCGTAACGATCTTCAAGAGTGAAGTGCTTCCCCATCTGGAGTACTGTCACCCCGTCTGGTCCCCGAGATATGCTAGGGACTGTCAGTTGGTTGAAAATGTTCAAAGGAGGGCCACCAGACTGGTGCCTGCACTTCGGCACTTCAGCTACCCTGAGAGATTTGAGTGCCTGAACTTACCTAGCTTATACTACAGATGGGCAAGGGGTGACCTAGTTGAGGTGTATAAGCATCTCGGGGGGCACTACTCAGTCGAGTGTCCTTACTTGGAGCTGGCGGACGCTCACCCCACAAGGGGTCACAGCTCAAGATTGAAGAAGCTGCAAGTCCAGAAAACTGTGAGGGCAAACTTTTTCGGAGTGAGGGTTGTAAACTCTTGGAACAATCTACCAGAGAGTGTTGTGATGGCACCGAGTGTGAGCTCTTTCAAGACCAGACTTGACCAACACTGGAGCGGGTTCAGGTACATTCAGGAGCCGGTGCATGCCCAGTACTTGCCAACAGTGCGTGACAGAGACGTGACCGATCGCCCGGGCGGCTAGCGAGCCGATCTTTTTGGTGAAGAGGATAAATGAAAAGGAAAAGTAATCAGAGACGTGACCGATCGCCCAAGCGGCTAACGAGCCGATCAGTGGTGAAGAGGATAAAAATAAAAGTTACCAGCAGCTTTGTTTACATATCAAACAGCTGATTGCAGAGGCAGTCGATGATGACACTCCATATTCTTTTCAGAGTGCTTTGGTTCTAATGCCTTCTTCATGTTTCATAATAATTTCTGCACTGTATACAGTATTATCAATATGCTAACTAAATTTCAGAATGACCAATAATTTTAATGTATATATGCAAAAATATTCAAGAGACCAACAAAATCGATGTTCACTCCACTGTAAACAAAGCTAAACTGAGAAGGGTTGTTGGGTGATTCAGTCAGCTTATGGGCACACAAAAACTGTTCCCTGTACTGTCTATATTATCAATATGTTAACTAAATTTCAGAATGACCAATAATTTTAATATAAATAAAATGCAGAAATATTCAAGAGACCAACTTTCTTGATATTTACTTCACTGGAAACGAATGTAAACATAGAACCAGTTACTGTATTGGTGGACTAGCTGATCAGCTGATGCGCACAACAAAACATATTTGTCGTAAGGATTTCGTTAATCGAAGTTTTGTTCGTTAATCGAACTGAAAATCCTTATGGGAGCTAATTTGTTTACCAAAATTTCGTTAATCGAACCGTTCGTTAACCGAGGGACCACTGTATACTGTACTCTTTTTCATTGATGGAAGAGCTTGTAATTTGGAAAGACAATTCCCAGACAACTAATTTCTGAAGTTGCATAATACGACAACATAAAATGTTAATGGTGAAGGTGATAGATAGTTTATTGTTTATGGGGAAATCTACAAGTACTCTAATAATGTAGTACCTAGATGATTTAACTTCTTTATAGTTATTTTGGTTGTCTCATTTTAAAATATCGGATGACTAAAAGAATGCTCACCTTAAATGAACATTAACCTTGATTGTACTGTACAGTACAGACGAAGAAATTGTCATTTGTGTCTCATTTTACAGATGTTGGCGTGTGGCTTAAGTCTCTGCGTCTCCACAAATACTCGCCATTGCTCTGTAGTTTAACCTATGATGAGCTGCTGGCATTAGATGAAGCAACACTGGAAAGTCAGGGTGTTACCAAAGGAGCACGGCACAAAATTGTCTTGTCTATTAATAAACTAAAGGAACGTCACAAGCAGTTAGTTCAGATTGAAAAGGTAGATTGACTTGTACAAGTGTATAAATTATGGAATAAAATATTGGTGTGGTAAGAACTCTGACCAAGACAATATGAATGGTATATTTGAATATTGTTGACTTTTTGTTAGGGAGATCACCATACAGTGAATATTTCTCTAACCTGTTATTGTATATATCACTAATACACATTTACCTTTAATGTTTGAAAAGTCATATGCGTGTATCCCTTGTTATGAACATTCAATCGGTGAATATTTGCTTATACAAATTTTTTATTCTTGCACCTCTTTCTTAATACAGGTATACAAAAGCTATTCTTGCTTATATGAATGATGATCCCTGTGAAAATTAAAATTGCACACACCAGACACATCCCCTCCCTCAGTCAACTTGCTGCCATTTGTTTACTATACAGTGGATTTGAAGTTATCTCTATTTATCCATGTGTATTTGTGCCATCCTTTCATGAATCTTTTCACAATGGCATTCAAGCATTGTGTTGATTCTTTGGCTACACCCACCATCACCAAGAGCCTGTAATAATTGAAAACAAGCTTGATATAATAGCCACTTCCAGCAAGATTGGCAGATGTCCCTCACTCAGTGTAACATATTTTAGTCAGTTTCTAATATTTTTTCATCAACCAAATTAATTTTAATAGTTAAAGTATAATATTGTCATTTTTTGTTGGCAGCTGTCACTATCCCTTCCTCTCCATCCCTCTCAGACCATCTATCTGGCAGCCATATTCCCTTAATGTTTGATTCAAAAGCAGTATAGTATAGTATCTCTATCTGTGTGTATTTGTGCCATCGTTTCATGAATCTTTTTGCAAGGGCATTCAAGCATTGTGCTACTCCCACCATCACTAAGAGACTGTGGAAGCCTGTGATAATTGAAAACAAGCTTGAAATAATGATGCCAAAAAACACCGGAACACCATAGCCAATTTAATTATTTTTAGTTATAATTTTGGGGTGTTCCTGTACATAAGTATACTAAATTACAGTAATTAGGTACTAATTTACAGGAGTTAGGTAGGTTTTTTGATGTTTGTAAGCCAATTTCATTTTATTAGGTAGAAAACTGTATCGGGGATTTCTTGTTGTTAGGCACCGAACCCTATTTTTCCCATATGTTATTCGATATAGGGAAATTCACTTAACAAATGGTTTTCAAGGAACCTAGCCCATTTGTATAGCAAGGGATACCTGTAATTGACAGTTTCATAATTTCCATTTTCATGATATGTACCGTATTTCTTTTTAGAGTCCTCACAATTGATCTCTAAGATAAACTTCATTAGGCACACTTGGAAAACTTAACATTTCCTATATGGGCAGTGTTTTCCTGAATAGTGGACAATCTTCACCCTTATAACCCAGTCAAATCTGGGTTCAGATCCAGATTCAGCACATGTCTTGGCAACTAGGCAACAAGTTATGTTTCAGATAAAAAATCTTTAACTCTCAGGGCTCATATCATTTTAAAACACAACATAACCATATTGCATCCCATGGACTATCACCCGATTCTTTGCTACAAGCATTTTCTAATTTCCAAGTGTTTACCACAGTTTGGGTTATGCGACACAAATTGTAAGCTATTCTATAATTTGTCACTCATATCCATTATTATGCAAGTTTGGGTTGGTAGGTTTCTTTGCATAAAATTCATGTGAATTACAGGTGCTGTCCTATATGTCCTAGTGCTAAGGATCTCTTAGTGATTCACAAACACACAAGTAATTTTCCCTCTTTAATGTTGTAGTATTGAGGAAGTTAGAATAGGACAAAAAAGATCTGTCACTTTGCATGAGAGATGCACACGTTAATAATGGCTTAACCAATCATTATGAGATTACGGAAGCTTACATTACAGGAGATTTAACATCCTGCATATAAACATTTTCTCAACTAGATTCTTTAGTACCACATTATATTGTACTTTTGTTTTGGTTAATGAAACATAGGAAATCATGAGATGGACTTAGACACAGTACAGTCAGTTCTCCTATAATGCGGTAGTTGCGTTCCAGAACATCATGTTATAGTAACCATTGATTAAATTAGAATTCAGGGGTTAGGGGGTATTAGTTTCAAGAAGACCGACAAATTTTCTTTACAGTTTGATATATAATTGTTAGCATTTATATATTATTTTATAATCACTGTTTTAGTTTGATGATATCATTCATTAATAGAATAAAAGTATAAGGGGAAAATGCTTGTTACAGCGTATGAGTCTACAGTATGGTATGAAGTCATAGAAAATGTAACCATGAAGGAGGGTAGTGAAAGAAAATTATGAAATACCTGTAATATATAGTAGAGGTGAATCTCTCAAACACTTTTAATGATAAAAACTTTTTAATCAAAACATTTTTTACAATAAAATTTGTAATTAAACTTACAAAAAAAATTAACACTCGCCACAAGAAGAGAAGATGGCTGCTTGAGACGAGAAATGGAGTCAGTGTGATGATGGAATTTTTGTTCAAGAGTACTGTAATAGCTTTTGTTTTTTCACTTCACTTCCACTACCAGAATGCTTCACACTCTTGCTGCTCATTGTAATTAATAGCAATAAAGTTTAGACTACGGTAAAGCAGTCTGTGATAACACACATGATGCATATGGAAGATAAACTAAGAATGAAGTACATGGGCAGCATCCCGCCTTGTGTGATGCTACACCGAGGCAGCCTTGTAACTGCTTATTCCTACTTGAGCGACATAGTTATGTTTCCTTAATCGCGTTATATCCAATTTGTATCTACGTTGTAAAAACTGGGTTTTCAAATACATTAATTGCGTCTTGAAAACATGCATTATACAGTAGAACTGACTGTATACATCTTAAATTTAATGTGGAACTAAAAAAGATGTTCTAATTTTAAACATGTACCCTGTACTGTATTGTTTGTAGCTGTTGAGATGGCACAGCATGATAATGTTTTTTGCATTTAAGAATATTACATCATCCAAAACCTTCATACAAGATATGTCCCTCATGCCCATTTAGATCAATATGAACCAAATGTAAGCTAAACATTTATAAGCCAATGTCTCAATGACAAGGACTGTGTAGCACTTCGAAATCTTAAAGATTAATTTTCTACACTGCTGCCATTACTGAATTTGGAACTGTAGAGTGAAACTCTTGAGTGGGGTTAGATGGTACATGAACACTTGGAGCTTACTGGTTCTTCCTATATCCCTGTTCTAGCTGGTACAGTATACAGGGGGCCCCCCCAAATTTGCGGGGTTAGGTTCTCAAAATGGCTGCAAATCGCCAAACCCGTGAATAACATTTTTACTTGTGTACAAAGAAATGTATATTCCCTTTATGTGTTTGACCTTAGGACAATTATTTCTCTTAACTGTATTGTATATATATGTATATATGTGTGTGTGTGTGTGTGTGTAGACACGCACAGACAAAACACATACAAATAAATAATAATGGGAAAATACTCACACAAATAACTAGAAAAAATATATATTAAAAATGTGAGTCTACCCTCAAGTCCATGCTTTAATAAATAAAGCACGGACTTGAGGGGGTACCGTCACATTTTTTATAAATTTGTTTGTGTGTGTGTGTGCAAAACACATTGTACAAATAAATAATAATGGGAAAATCCTCTCACAAATAATCAGAAACAAATTTATTAAAAATGTGAGTCTACCCTCAAGTCCGTGCTTTATTTATTAAAGCAAGGACTTGAGGGTAGACACACACACACGCATTTACAATACAGGTAAAGGAAATTACTGTCTCTAGAACAAATGGTTCCGTCCCAACCGCGAAAATGTCAACAACTTTAAAACTACCCACAGACATTCTTGGGTGCATCAGTGTCATCCGTGAATAATTGAGGACCGCAAAATAAAAATCCATGAATTTGTGGGTGGGGGGGGGCTGTACATATATATATAGTTACCTATGATTGGCAATTCGCTAGAAATGAAGGAATGATCCTGAAATTGTGTTTTCTAGACAGGTCTGGATAGGATGGTACAGATCCTTACTTTCAAAGTAGTTGAGTGTGCTTGAAATGAGGTGATTTATCCAGCAATATTGTTTCTTGGCTGAACTAAATAAAATAGGATTACTTGGTGCATGTGCTTACGTAGCAGTAAAAAAAATAATCTCTTTTTGATTACCTTCATGGTAAATATTTCCTCTGGAACCAAAAAAAATGAGAGTGAAGAATATTCTGATTTCCAGATACAGTATACATATTCATTTTTGAGGTTCCAGGTATAACTTTGGGAATCTGGTTATCAACTCGTAGTCTTAATGACTATTCAGAGTTGCCCAGTCTCACTGCAGTTAAACAATGGGATTTTAGGATCATTTCTATAATATTCTTATCTTGAATAGTACTGCTCTTGTCTTTGGAATGGAAGCTTTTATTTTAATGATTTTCTTTATATAGTAAGCAAAATATTAAATTATTATTATGTACAACTAATGAATTTCAAAATATGTTTTTAATCTGCAGGAAGTGATGAACGGTGGTCACTTATTATCTTGCCTCAACGACCTCAAATCAATCATCCTTACACCTTTCCCACCTTACAATCCTCCAAGCGATACCTCTCAACCCTCCCAACAACACTTAAATCAGCCTCCTCTAACCTCTTCTACTCCTGACCCAACACCTCCATCCTCCACAATGTCTTCCTCCACTCCAAACTCCACCTTCTCTCCAGCTTTTTCCACTTCTTCTGCAACAACCACTACTGCTTCCTCTGCTTCTTCACTATCAACTTCCACATCCTCATCTGCTTGTTCACTGAGAGGGGAAGAGAGAGAACTTATGAAAGAAGACAGAGTTGAAATACCAAGACCTACTTTAGAGGCAGACAGCGGCAACACCATCTCTGAAAATGATCTCCCTTCTCAGTTTACACGGGTTATGGGCAAAGGTGAGAGTTATTCATTAATTTTAGTGATTAATTTTAGGCTTTCCATTTGTATTAGACAATTAAAGATATGAATTAGTGGATGTACAACCCCCAAAATATATGGTTAGATTTTCCATTGCTACAATTTGAAATGCTTTGATATGATCCCCAGTGCACCATGTTAAGTTGGTATGCCTGCTATCCATACCAGTAACAAATAAAGATGGGGGTAGGGGCTGGAGAAGGGCGTCGTCTTTGTATGGCATACTAGATACTTCAATATAACGAGAAATCCATTAAGCTATATTAATGTATTTATCATTCGAGAACATATTAAGTCCTCGATATACGCAAGGGATGCATTCCTAAAAACCCTCGCATGTTATATATCGAATACAGTACTTAGTTGCATGGGAAAAAATAGGATGTGTTCCATTACCCAAAATGTAAATGTTTAACACAATTGCAAGACAAGTAAACCATAAAACAAGTCAATACAATATTGTTTTTTAAATAATAGATAAAGCAAGCAAAGAGTACAGTGTACTTAACAATAAAAGCAGATACATCAACTTGGGTAGATGCTGAGTACTGTACGCATATACTGTATTGAGGACTTACTGTATACTCATTCATGCTCAAAGGTCGTGGATGTAGAACTACCAACTGTTCAGAAACAGGTCGAGTAACATTACTCAGAAACACGCACATCACATCGACCCCATAGCTGACGATACTTTTTGGGAGGACTGTATGAGAGGAATGTCAAATAAATTAAAGAACTTCTTGGTTCAAACTCAACCCAGTCAGAGTGCATCAATGCTATCATTCCTCATGGGTTCACATTATATGAACCCCATGTTTGTTAAGGTAAACTTTAATTGTTACAGTGAATTGTTAACCAAAATTAATTATTATTATAAATTTATTTATTTCGTACCTTGACATACAACAGTTTGATAATCCCAATATTGTATTTGGTGTAATTTAAATACCAAGTAAAGCTCAAATATTATTTTAGGACATTAATTTCTAATGATATTGCAGTATTACTTTGATGGTCTGAATTACTAGTGCATTCAGACCATGCATTCATTAATGAAATGGGATGGGTACTTATTAGGTAATGGGAAAAGTTCACCTGACTGCAAATTATAATTTTTCAATTAATATTCGTTTTATTCCAATAGGTATTTTGTATTCTTTACCATTATCACTGCGCAAATTTATATTTTTCAAGCATTTTAAACGATAAGGCTTTCCCAATTACCAACAATATTGGTTGCTCAAAGTGGACAGGGCTTTGAAGTACAGTAGAGGGAAAATGTGGGGGGAAATACTAAAAAAGAACACTAAGCAACCTTTCCTAGCCTATAAAATGGTTAAAAATTTCTTTCGAGTTCATGGATCCCCTCCTCATCTTTGAAGTTTGGTTTTGAAGTGTTTTTTATGGGGGGTAGAGTCCACCTGATGCATTTTTTATATTCATGTTATAATAGGTACGTTCTACACTGCATTTTGTGGGAACACAACCTCCATGTTAAGCGAGGGGGCAGTGTATTGTACAGTATAGCGATATGAATATGTGCAGTAACCAGATGTGTTAAGTAAACTTTTGCAGTGGAACAATACCAGAGACAAATTTTAGTAAAGTTCAAAGCCATTCAATAGCACTTTCGAAATTAATTTAATTTTGCCAGTTTACCATATTGGCCATGTATACAGTATACTAACTATGTAATATGTTGTAATGTGCATGATGGTGACCTGTGGTGTAATGGTCAGCATCCTCGCCTCGCAAGCGAGCGAACCCGAGTTCGATCCTCGGGCAAGTTTCTTTACGCCATTTGTCTCTGTCTACCCAGTAGTAATTGGGAATCCTGGATGTTAATTGATTTGTGGATCGTATTCCGAGGTAATTGTTAGCCAGTGCAGTTGGCGAGTTGTCCTGTTGTCTCGAGCTATTCCTTGACACTGGGTCATGCAGCTCGTTAACTTAGGGTGTGGTTGTTGTGTTGGTGACAGCTTCTACACCTTAAACAAATTCACGCCTAGGTGGCCCTTGGGCCGGCCATACTCGATTTCGAGGGGCTTCCATTATTATTAATCTAAATGAAACTGTACTAAATGTTTTATAGTAATTTCATCAACATAATTGTACATTATTTATCTGTATCTTTATGGCTAAATAAACCATTTCAGTTTAAAATTGTGAAATGGTAGATAATAATTTAATGTCTTTCATTAATCATATAATTAGTTCAGTTGATTACTTAGACCCAAAATTCAAGTTAGTCATAAAATAACAGATTTTTCCTGTGAATATGTATTGTATTGTACTTGCTTATCATTTGTGTACCTACTCAGTTATTTACCTTTCATTTTTTTAAGTATACAGTATACTGTATGTTTGAACACTTTATTACAGTATGCACGCAGTTGTTGGTCAGTGTAAGACCGGAGGACGAGTGTGTCACTGCTTTCTTAGGGTTAGTAGAGAAGTGTGTCAACCATGAGGCATTTACCCCAACTCAAGCACGGAGGCTGCAATCTTGGAAGCAACAGATTATTCGAGTTTGGCATCCACTTCCACCTAAAACTAAAGATAGCCGCCATAACAGAAGGTGAGTGAGTACTGTGTGTATGAATGTTTATATATACAGTAAAATCTCGATAAATCGGACTTCATTATATTGGAATACTCTTTTTTCTGACTTTTGAGGTGCACTGGACTGCCTCTTTATTTACTAGAAATAATTTTTTTAAGTTTGAAAAATTCAACATCAGTTAGGACGGTTTTGGTGTTGAGCATCATAAGGTGCATTCGAACCATTCAGGCAAAACCCATTTTTGTTGGAAAGCACTTTTTTGGCCTATCTCTATATGATGGTAGTTGATAAGATCTCCTTACTTCACTGTAAATAAGGTTGAAAGTCCATTGAAAATAGGTTAGAGCATAGATTTGTGGCAGACAGGAAATTGTGGGCTTGGCTTTCGTAAGGTGCTCTCATCCTGTAAATGAGTGAGTGAGAGGAGCGGGTGTCCAATTACAGTGGCCAGCCAAGAGCCTCCTCCCCCATCTCGGCCAATGACAGTGAGCGTCTTTCTATGTCATGGCCCCTCCAGCGGGCGGGATCTACACTCTGATATCAATTAAAGTAAAAAAAGCCATAAGCGGGTGGAGTCTTGGCTTTAAATCAACATTGCAGCAACCCAGTACATTACTTCATGATGCACTACCTGCATAGCATCTGCAAGTACAATCCTTTAGCTTTAAAATGCACAAAAATGAATGCTGTACCTGAAAAATAAAAACAAGTTATGCATATTTGAAGTTAGAAAACTTTAAACTCAGTTTTCTTGGTTTCAAATTTTGGCACAAATAACCCATATGATGTGGGGCACCTGAAATGCGGTTGAACATCTGTGCGTGGGTGTCGTGTGGCACATGTCTCACTTTCGCAGACTCTCAGTCTGAGTCCTGCCTTCATATGTATAGTATCAGTGTGCCGCTCCTCGCTACCTACACTCATTTATGTGAACGTTTTTGTAGAGTACATAGTATCTTGAATGGGGATACAGGTACTTGCAGATTTTAAGAAATAGGTTAAAGTTATGTAAGTACATATTTTAAGAAATGGGTAAAATTGAAAAAAAATTATGAAAAGAACAACACTTGCTCACTGAATACTGTACAGTGTGGTCTAATCAGATTTGCTGTAGGCCTAACGAGAGCTTAGACACTGTGTATGAAAGGAAGCTGGGGGTGGCGGCCTGATCGGGAATTGCCTCATTCGTCAGGTTTATTTATTAATTCAATATTACATTCTCATATGATCAGCCTCCTATGGTGTATGGTTCATTATGATTAATATAACATCTTCAATAATTTAGAAAAAAGCCGTTTTTTCTAAAAAACAGTTTTTGTGATATAGCTCGGAATGCGACGCTCACACCGTTGTGGGGGTTAGGCCAAGCACAGTGGCTATGTCCACAGCACGTTCCCTTTTTTCTAATTGGGTTAATACATGCATTTTCGTAGCAAGGGTAATGGTCTTACGTTGCCTCTTCACTACATGAGCATCAGTAGCACTTGATGGGTGCTTGGAAGCCATTGTGAATGGTTAGAGTACAGTTTTAGAGCAAAGGCACTGAAGCACACACGAATAATGTGAAGTCGTAACAGAGACTGGCTTAGCGTCGCTTGGGGACGCTGTGACGGTCCGCGAGTGAGGGCAATGTGTCGAGCTGAGAGAGTGTAGCGCGGCCATACGAGCAGATGATGCGCCGTAGAAAGTAGTCCGTGACGACACAAAATGACGTAGTATCAGATCACCGGGACGTGAAACGAATTTTTGGTCTCTAAAGTTTAGCGATGTAATACCGAAACAACGTTAAGCAAGGACTTACTGTACAGTAATACCAATAAATAAGTTTAAAACAAAAAATATTGTACAATATTGCCAAACTCGTAACTAAAAGCCAAATGGAAGTTTAACACACTCACCATTTGCATATACCATAGCAACACAGACCAGCAGGGACGCTACCTCTGCCGACTCCCTAGCAATTCCCCTCCCCCAACACACGGCACCCTCCTCCCGCTGAGCAAACTAACTGATGTGCAAAGAGATGTATATTCCCTTTATGTGTTTGTACTTATGACAATTACAGTATTTCTTTTGCCGTTTTTTTTTCTCAATATGTATGTAAGATGGTGTGTGCATATAACCGAGTAAAAATAAATGAAGAAAGTTACATATTTCTACCCAAAAATACGAGTTGAAAAACAACCATAACACTTCACAGCTTGGCCCAGTAGCCTGGTGGTTACAGTGACGAGTGTAACCTGGCTACATTGTCCCCCAGTGGTGTTATAGACTCAAATGTGAAAAGAAAGTTATCTGTAAATCTAAATTTATTTGATACCTTCCTAACAACATTATTTATTACCTTTGAGTGATACATGATGGTGCAATTTGGATACACAACTAATTAATGAATAAACCAGGGTATATGCAGAGTGTGCGCAGAACACAGGTGCATTGTCCTGGTGAAGCAGCCAATTGCCGGTCGTCAGTCAGAATCCTGTTAACATTTCCATACGAGAAGTTCAACCACCCGCCGTGGATATTCACCCTACGATCTTCATCGACAAGTTGGTCATTCTTCTGGTCATTTTCATCATTTCTCTCAATGGAAGGCTGCCCAGAACAATGCTCATTTTCAAAAGAGGTACACCCCTCTTTTAAGCTCTTGTGCCACCTGAAAACCTGAGATGGACATTGCACCATCTTTGTAGGCTTCCTTGATTATTTTGTGGGCTTCTGCACAATTTTTTCCGAGTCTAAAGCAAATTCTGATGGCACAGCATTGCTCAATACTTCCCTTCATGATGAGGGTAGAGTGGCAACTGACTCTCACACAAAGCTGCACTACGGCCAGTTGGTGCCACAGATTCCCGCCAAATAAGCGCAATAAACAACTTATACCCAAGGTGAGTAACTGCTGATGATTCAAATTCGATATCTGCTAAGAGAAAGGTTTTATGAAGCCAGTCCGTGAACTTTTGGATCACACCTAGTACGTGCGTACCCTGTACTATGTATTTTCCCCATACAGTGACCCCTCGGTTAACGAACTCAATCCGTTCCAGTAGGTCGTTCGTTAACCGAAAAGTTCGTTAACCGAAACCATTGTTTCAATGGGTTTTTGGGTAATTGGTTCCAGCTCACCGAAACTTTCCTAAATTCAACAAAAATGGTAGAAAAGTTCACTTACTTTGAGGTGTGTATGTAGAAGGCTCCTGGATGATGATGATGATGGGAATTAGAATAGGGGGTGAAGGAGAAGGAAGAAGAGAAGGCATTGGGGTGGAAGAGAAGTCACTCCATGGCATCATTTCACCCATAAAATTTTAGTTCTCTCGGTGTATTTCAAGATTATTTTCTTTAAATCTACACTGCACTGCATTATATATTGTCAATATGTAAAATATATTTCAAAATGACCAATAATTTGCTTGGAAACGCAGAAAAAAAGCGTTTAGTTGAAGAGAGTCTCGAGCAAGATGTTACCTCCAGTGAAAACAGAGAGAGACTAACGCCTGTTTGCTGTGTTAAGAGGTTGGATGCCGCGCATTAAACTAGTCACTTTACCTTCAATTATGTTCAATAATTGTTAAAATGACTAAAAAATTTAATATTAAACTTTTAAAATTATTGAAAAGTATAAATTTCTTGATATTTACTAAAATAATAAGGAATTCAAGTCCCTAGAACCGATTAATGTATTGGCGGACTGATACTAAAGCTGGTTGCCCGGCCAGTGCAAGCGAAAACATGTTGAGGTCGGTTCGTAAGAAATTCGTTAACCGAATTTTTGTTCGTTAACCAAATTGAAGATCCTTATGGAAGGCAGTTCGTTAACCGAGGCGTTCGTTAAACGAGGGGTCACTGTATTTTGTAAAATCCTATATTTCGGAAGGGATAGAGCCCCCAGTGTTTTGAATTATGGGGGTTTTACTGTATTTCTATACTGTACACGTAAGCATGAGTAGATGGCATCAGGAGGCACCACGCTATCAACCACGCGGTGCAATCTTTTTGCACTTTTACATTTTCCCACCCCTCCAACCTACCAGCAACATGAGGCATGGCTTAAAACTCTTACAACACTGTTATGAATAAATTGAATCATTGTGATGAGTGAGAAATCACCACAAGCCGCAAGTAAGTGTCGGTCAAGGTTATGTCCCGAGTCGTTGAAACTGGTGTGGTAACCTAATCTTGGAGGGCAGTCTATATAGTTGCCAGATCGCGCTGACCAAGTCAAATGCGTGTCTTGTGTGTTTAGCATTCATATGCAAACATTAAATTATTTTACTTGATTTTTTTTACTAATAAGCAAATTTCCTTATGAAAACCCTAAAGTGATGATTTATATCATACGGAGTTTTGCATATGAAAAACTCAAGAGTGTTAGTAAAATGATACAGTAGTAAAAAATATTGTACTGTAGTAAAAAACTGTGGAGAGTGGCATTTAATCCTAAAATGCAACATATAGATGATGAGCACCTTTTGTCCCACGAGGGGGCTGGTTTATTGGCACTCCCTTGCATCCTCTGCAAGGCATAGCGTAAAAAGCGTTTACAGCACCCAACAGGGAAGCTTGCAGAGTTCATGCTTGCCGAGTCGACTCGTGCATTAAAAGGGTGTAAGTGCCTGAAGGGCCATGGATTCCATCGACAAGTTACATAAAGTGACAGGATGAGTGTGTGGGGAAGATTTCTAATACAATGCAGTACATCTGTTTATGGCAAGGTGTGGCAAGACCCCAATAAGCCAAATTCCAGGCCTGTCTGCAGGAGGAGGAATATTTGATCCTTTATAAAAGCGGTTCCCAAACACGGGGTCGGGGTCTTGCAGCGGTTAAATGAGATTTTTTCTTCTTTTTAATCCAGGTGTCAAGAACTGAAGGACAAGGCCAACAAGTGCGGTCTCGTTAAGTCGTGACCATAAATTATGGTCAAGGGATTAATGCAGTTAGTCTCCTTGCCCTGTGACACATTCCACAACAGAAGTTCACACTCTTGTATAGTACTATATACCTTTTAACTATTC